AATGATGAGTCCAGAAGAATAACTCAGCAAACTGTGAGGAACTACCTCCAGTCCATGTCTAAATTTCTTCTATTCCTCAACTTGGGGTGTAACCTAATATCACCTGAAGAGGCAGCTTCATTGGAGGAACAAATGCGCCTTTGGAACCTATGATAAGATATGGTATGATCTAGTGAACAAAAAATTTCAGTCATTTTCAGAGTGACCAAAAACAGTGAGCAACTACCGTGCTCATGAAGAGGACCGAATTATAGTACGCCACAAGGAGAGGGAGTTCATTCGCAGAACCGATCAAATCACGCCATATGATGGTAATAGATACTACCATCTGAACATCTCCTGTATAAAACAGAGGCATGATTCTTTTAATTCTAGAACCGTGCGATGGGATAGCACTCAGATTATTGAGGGAGATATTGATTATGCCCACCATTCCATTGGTCACCCTATATAAAACGTGTAACGAACACATAGCTACATTCTTGATTGGATTTTGGTGTCTCAACAATAACTTAAAAGAGTTATATTAGAGCCATTAAAAATGATTTGGAGGTGATATAGAATATATTTTGGAACCGATGAACGTAATGAAGTATCTGAATGTGCCGTGATGTTTCGTGACATACTATTTGACCTGGTATTATTGAAAGATGTAACACAGGGGTTCAAAGACACAGAACTATATTTTATGATGGCTATTAAGCTACCTTCATACAAACAATGAATCTTAGTCCAGCAGTTTGACTGTGGCATGCAGATGAACCTTAGGGTTTTACTACACTATACTTTTCAAAAAAGTAGAACTTTTGATTACTGAATATCATCATATAGGCCCCAAAGTGATGGAATGTGTGAACGATTTAATTGAAGCTTGGAGAGTATGTTGAGCATGTTCGTGGCAGAGAATCAGCTAGATTGGGATGAATACTTACCAACAATTGCAATGGCATATTGTTCTACTCCACATGACAGCACTCATTTAACACCAAATATGATGATGCTTGGAAGGGAGATAGAGATGCCTCTGGATGTTATGATTGGTCTTCCACCTGAAGAAGTAGATATGAGTGTTGACTTGTATACCTTCAGATAGCGTTATCGAATGGAGGAAGTGCATGATGAAGCAAGAGAATTCTTGGCTAAGTCAGCTGTGAGGCAAAAGAGAAACTATGATTAGAACGTAGAGACACAGAGATTCAAGGAAGGTGATTTTGTCTGGCTATATACAACTTAACTGCATGTGGTCATTACCAAGAAACTGCAACGATTATGAAATTGTCCATTCCTGGTTGTGCAAAGAATTTCTGATACGACGTATAAAATACAATTCAATGAGGGGTGCACTCCTTAAGTGGTCCATACGGATTGCCTGCGAAAATATATAGAGCGATACGAAAAGGCAGAGCAATTCATAAGCCAGCTAGGTTCCTGTAATGGAAATGAAGTTGTTATTAATATTGCTTTTTGTCATGAAATTGTATAAAATGATTAAATAAATAATGTTTTGTTCAATTCAAATTGTACTGTTGTTAATAAAATAAAAAAAAGCTGTGGTTTTAAGTCCGAGTCCGAGGTTTTCACATGATGCACCCTACACATAGAGCGCGCGTAATATTACTACGCTGGCTGCATTTGAAGAGACTATCTGGCTATTTCAAACATGGCTGAAGAGAGATCAGTTTTCTTTCCAACATTTTGATTGTTTTTCAAGCTGTATACCAGCGATTATTGAATTTCTTAAAATAATGATATTCAAAGTACCTATGTTTGACAGCTTACTATAAAACGCCGACCTATTGGCATGTGCTGCTGAGATAAAAACAAATTCCAAAAAACGCCAAATTATTTCCATTTATTTCTTCCTCTCGATCAACTGCTAAGCCACCGATTATCCAGGTAAGCTGACAATTGAACGATGATGACCCCATCCACCATCTATGCATGTAATTAGATCCTATAATAGCCCAAATTTGTTATAGTACAAGTCCTAACTAGAACTCTGCGGAAAATTTAGGAGAGGACTACGGCGGGTGAGTATTTTATGATTCTAATGCATACTTAAATGTTTTCATTTTATTTCAGACTAGGATTCGAATGTTACTATTGCAACACAAACAGGAAATGTAAGAAATTTACAGATATGATTCATCACCTACTTGAAATAATAATTAATGAAAATAAAATGAAATGTTCAAAAATTCAAAATTAAGCCCCAATGAAATGTCAATCTGATTTAATAACACATGAAATTCAATACAATGAAATGACAACTGCAATTGAATGCAGCAAATCCTTCAATGAAATGGACACTGTCCAGATTCAAGATGAAACAATTGATTTTGATTATTCATTAATGGTCGAAGATAATGAAATGATAGTCACTGAAGAAATGATATGTGAAATGAAAAAAATGATTGCTGTTGTTGCTGAAAAACTCTTATAAAAGATGAGTCAGTTGGAACATTCAGGACATTTTTGGAGCTGGTATCTAACCCCCCTATCACACCAAAATAGTTCTTACCCGTTCTTGCCAGTCCTACGAAAACATCGTAAAACGGGCTCAATCTGGCTGTGGTCGGGAAATATGTCTGAAATAATTAGCTTCTTCGTTCTTTAACAGTCTTCAATACGTCCATCTCATTCCCAGTTCGTTCAGGTCGCACCACGTCGGTGTGCAACATCGTAGAACGCGTCCCTTAGTCTAGAAGGTCGTCATGACCTGATAACAGAACGGTATGGTCGCAATCGAATTTTGAATCGATTCAAAATTCTAAAATCACATTCCCGTCTGAGAACGTTCATAAAGTTCGTAAATAGACCTTAGAAAGTTGCAGGTACGTTCATTCCGTTCGCACATAGTTTAAAACCAGTTTTGAAGAACGCAGGGTAGGGCAACTTGTTTGGTGTGATAGCTATATTTTTGCTAACTCGTTCATAAGCAGTGTTAAATACGTTCTTAATCAGTTTTAACCCGTTTGCATTTAGTTCTACCTCGTTCTCAACATGTCCTCATCAGACAGTTCAACTCGTTGTAAAACGTTAACGTCCCTAGTAGGATTGAAGTACGACGGTTCTGTTTGTAGTACGTCCAGCTCGTCGTTAGTACGTTGTCACTCGTTCTAATTGTAGAATGTGACAACCACGAGTACATTTTGAGCATTATCTAAGTTCTAGAGGCCCTACCCATTCGAGTACGTTCGATGAAGTTTGTAAATAGATCCCAAACGGTTCTTAGTAGGTCCAGTCCGTTCGTACACAGTTGAAGCCCGTTTTCGAGAACGTAGTGAGTACTAGATTGGTGTGATAGTAGGGTAAGGATAAGGATAAATTTCCCCTAGAAAACATTGCCTTCAAAACATTTCTCGACAAAGTTGAATTATTTGGATCCGACACTATTCAGCAATTTCGATACAAAAACCAAGAGACCATTTCCTTTTGGAGAGTGGGATATCGGTTATTCAAGGTCAAGTTCCTTCGCTATTCATTTTTAGCTGTATGAACGTATTGAATTATCCATCAGTCCTTCCGACCAGCTGGAAAGAAGCAGCAGATTATTAAGTGACATCCGTCTGTCCGTCCATCCTTCCATCATCAACAGTTGGTGGCAGTAAGAGACAAATGCAATATCCATTTATATTTTGTTATGCACACAAGTGACATACCCTATACTGTACATGTATGTATATCCAGGATATCTCTTTGGAAATAAGTCACTTGAGGTCATGGCCAAAGTAAAGAGTTACACTTAAAAAAAGGTCATTATTGTTTAAAATGTTAATTACCTGTGCAAAAATTGTTTACAGAGTTCGACACTTGTATATATATATTTTATGCACATAAGTAACTTTCTTTGGATAGGCCTACATTGCAACCAAATATTTATTGGTAAAATTGCACGACATATCAAACACTGTTCAAAATCAAACGCTACCCTCCCAGGTCTACCCTTGTATAAAAGTTCGAAGTTTTATAACAATTTGATATTATAGTTATTCTACAGTCTATGTGCTTTTGATACACATGAGCACTGGATCTGTGGTCGATATTTGAGAAGTCTATCGCATCTTTAATTTCAAGTTGCTGTAGTGTTAATCCCAAGAGGTTGATATTGACACGCGTAGTCCTCTCATCCAAAAATTTGATCTCGGGATTTCAATGAAGTTACCTCAGGAAAAATAATGTTAAAATTCTTCAAAATAACATCAATGATGCAAAATATGTTAGGAATGTATATACTTCTCTCATAATACTTCAGTTACCGTGATAATATGAGGATATTGAGATTCTTTAGTGGAAACTTCGCGGTAACTTTCTGAATTATCAACTTTACATCGTATTTTATTCATTATGTAGGCATACTTTCCTATATTTTTGTCATATTTCTTCAATTAAGACTATACTATATGGTTTGCCATCCATATACGATACATTAATATCTTAAATAAGTCAGTAGGTGCTTCCAAAAAGTAAACCGTGAGAAAGAAGTTGAGAAATAGCCAGATAGTCTCTTCAAATGCAGCCAGCGTAGTAATTTGCTCGCGCTCTATGTGTAGGGTGTGATGGGATAGTCGTAGGGTGTGATGGGATAGTCGTAGCGTGTTGTCGTGATTTAGCGGTACCCGCCATCTTGGATCAACAATCCATTGGGGAAGGAGGTCACACGATGGGTAAATGATATATTGAATTATGAATTGTTGTTTGGTTTGTAGATTCCTGCTGTGTTCTACCTACTGTGTTCTACCTACTGTTGTTGAGTACTGCTGTGTATAATCCTGTAGATTGCAGTTGCTGTTATATTCATTGATTATTGCTGTGATACAAGATGGAGAAGGAGAGAAGGAAGAGGACTAATGAGAAAGAGGGGAAAACGACCAAGGATTTCAAAAGACCAAAAATAAACAGACTGACAACAGTCGAAAAACAGCGGAAGGTACTTCAAAAATAACCCAAATATTGTACATCTCTTTATCATAAACCAGCTCTTATTGAGGAATCAACAGAGATGCTTGTTCCATATACATCACGACGATTGGTGCATATTTAACAAAATACCTGCACCAGTCCTGTTACTTTTGGAACACCCTGTATGCAATGAAGTATGTCAATATCTACCTTGCAATGTGTGAACGCAACTGGAATCTTAGAAATGCAGCCATAAAAGCCACATGTCCACTTTTCACTGCATTTGATACCCATAACTATGCAAGACTCTTGCCACAGCATATTTCCCATCTTCTAACACTGCCAAATGATGTTGCACGGCAATATGAAAGTGGGGCTTTTGCTGTTAGTTTGAAGGGTGTTTATTATGCCAGTGTCAATGGCATAATTAGTCTTTATTGTTGACAGCGATAAAGTGGAAAAAATGACCTGACCAAAGATGGTAACGGTAAATACGATCGTGAGTTACCACATACCAGATGGCGCATAAAGAACAGTGAAAGACCGTGAAAGACCGTGTAAGATTCTTAATAAAAATATCAACGGCCATCTGAAGGAGGATGAATACTTTTTCAAATGGCATACATATGAAATAATAAAAAGTGTATGACTAAGAAGACAAATCAATTGGATCGAGAAAGAGGGAAATGTTTTATATAGTAAACTGTTTATACAGTACACTTATAGTTGGTGTAACAACTGTTAATATTAGTGCGAAATCACATGTGAACAAAAAATCAAGAACAAGCCTTTTTATGAGACTTCGAATTCAAAAATCACTAATTTAAAAAAAACAAAAAAAACAGAGAATCCTCCTACAGAAACTTTGCGCAAACTTGCTGATACTGAGAAAAACCCTCTTAAAGTACCCTCAAGGAGAACAATTTACTATGCTAGGAATACAAACAAAGCTAAAGATCCCCTTACTGATTATTTGCAGTATAATGATGAACAAGACACTCCAATAATTGTTGGCATACATCTTGTTCCCGGTATAACGATTACAACTCACACCCCAGAAATGAAGACAAACACACGATTCCTTAATGAGGGTTCAGTCATTCAGACTGATACAACTTTTGGAAATCAAGGTTTTTATGTGACAACAGTAGCAACTCAAGATTTATCTGTTCCAAGAGACTCCACTGGATGTTCTCCATAATATATTAGCCTATTGTGGTGTACAATAGCCTATATGGTGTTAAACGTATTTTGCCTTACATGGTGTTAATTAACATGGAGTAAATAGAACATGGGACTTTAAAAACATTGTTCCACTTGTGATGTGTCCTACTGCATTTATTAAACATACAATATTTCTATTTACAGAGTTCTTTTCAACAACAAACTCCGGGGACATGTATCACATGCTATGCAACAATAAAGATTGATTTAACTTTTATAGCGTGTACCATGTACATACATATACCTAGAAGGTGGTGGGTGTAAGAGGTCCCATAAGCATACATATAATGCCAAAGGTGAGGTTGTACTTGTCATTGGACAGAGAATCACGAAAATATCATCTGAGCTATATGTGCAGATGATGGCCAAACTCCTCCTGTGCACACATGTAGCAAGAACCATGAGGATTCCTCACAATCAATGGAGTACCAGGGTGCCCTTATGGCCTTCAATGAGATTGGGGGCCTGGAGTGTAACAAGTGAAGAAGACTTACCACATTACGAATCTGATTCTGAGGGTGAAAATATGCATGATGTGGAACATATATTACAGACTGAGACCATGAGTTACAGGGGCATTTATCAGATTATGAGCATGCACCATGTTCAAAGTTAGCATTTTTACCAATTTTATTCATATTTTCATGGCAAAAAGCATTTAATGTACCATTTGGAGCTGTTGCTGTTTCATTGTTATTTCTAAAAATGTTCATTTGTGATGTTGCAAGCAATTTAGCCATCACAGATATATTCACCTTGACCCTTGAAATACCTTCTAGTGTTTACAGAGGCAAAGAAATGTTAGGGATCAAGGATTCATTTCAAAAATATGTAGTTTGCGAAAAGTGTCATCATTCATATGAAATTGACAATAATTTGACTTTAAGGCAAGATGGCTCCAGAGTTTCCCAAAAGTGTAGACACATTCCTTTTCAGTCCGAGGGTTTCAATCACATTTATACAGCAGCTGAAAATAAATGTATTCTATGTATTCTACAATTTTAATTCTTTGTTGTAGACAAACAATGTTGAGATGCTGCTGGAAATCATAACCAACAAATGTGTTCATGCGCCGGGATCCAAGAAATTTTTTAAAGCACCATTACAATGGTGCATCTGGAAATGGACAATGTGAGAGATTTACCCATATGTTGAATCTTTTATTGAGGTCATTAAATCAAGGAGAAAATGGTCAGAATACATCAAAGAGTTCTACTACTACAATATAACACCACATCAGAGTACAGGCATTTCACCTTGTGTATCAATTAAACAATATTATTGAGAACAGTAACCTATATGGCACTGATTTAGAAAAGATAAGACTTATCCTTCATACATCAAAAAACTTGCCTGGGTTAAAAACACAAAAGTCAGAACGGCAGAGGACCTACCTGAGAGCTGGAGAAAGGCGAGAGCTGCAGCAAACAGAGAAATAAACTTGCAGTCCCTGCGTAGAGATGGCTGCGTAAGATATCGCTCATATGTGGAGTGGCCTTTATCCAAATTATGAAAACAGTCTTATTGTAAATTGTTGGATTGAATTGAAAAATGCTTTCGTAAATTATTTGTTTCTGTCAAAGGTGACTTAAAGTCTTATAAATTGTATAATATAATGTGATCTTATATGGAAAGCATTCATAATAACTTAATATTCTCTGGGAATGAAAGATCCTGTACGTTGAAAGATTATAATTGTTTTAAACCTGGTTTACTTTTTGCTCATTGAGTAAGTAAATAGAATCTCATATACTTAACCAGATGAAACTTAAATTTGGCGGCTGTACAAAGAACGGTAAGCGAAAGCTACGCGAATGAACCAACTCCGCCGTACATACGAAATTACATTGCGATGAGCTTGAAGGGCACTCGTGACGCGCCAGCGGTGAGCACGAAATGCATTCGATTTGACCACGAATTTCGGGAGGCATGCTGACGCCGTGGCATGGTGTAAGGATCGCTAATAGATGGACTGTATATGGTTTAGCATATTTTGTTAATTTATTAGATTGAAAACTACTTGACACAGTATGTCATTCATTGTTGGGGACTGTGCCACGTATCGTGGCTTCGTTGTGGAGATCTTGAGTTTTAATAGAAGTGAGTTTTATTTCATCCCTTTCCACTGACTGATATAATTTTATGTTAAGATAGCACCATTGGATAAAATTGAATCCTTGAAATTCTCTCAATATTGCAAGCCTGCATAATTAATATAATATAGCATGTACATTGCATGATTCCACACAAAGCCAGATTAAGAAGTGTTAAGTCAGTCACAAAAGATCTAATAAAAAGAAATTGTCTGCTCTCAAAGGTCATACTCCTGACCAGATATAATTGTGGTGTCCCCTTTGCTGTTATCACCTGACATGATAAAAAGATTTAAAAGTATGTGGAAGACAAAATATGCTGTGTAGCATTTGATGAGCTCCATTGGAAGATATGAATAAGAAAATACAATAGCATGAACAATATAATATTACCAGATGTGCCAATCATCAATCAATTAAGAATGTTGCACCCACTTGAGATAGATTTCTTGTAGAGAAAATTCCTTCTCCCAATTATCTCATCAATAAAACAATGATACATTTGATATGTTACATTAATTACTCATAATGTGATGTCTTTACAGGACTAATACAGAAATGAGTATATAATAATGTTATTAACTTAAGTTAAATCAAGAACTGCAGATTAGTCAGATAAGTATATTTTATTCTTTTTAATGTAATAATAATGCTTTGTATCTAAATAATAGCATTTTCGGCCCAATATTATGCCATAAATCATAGAATCTTGGTCTCTATGCATTAAAAATGCAATGATCCATACACATGTAATTATCAGATTATTTAAAACTTAAGTGAGATTTTTAATTGTTTTAAGCGAGATTTTTAATTGATTTTAAGTGAGATAAAATGGTTGTATAAAAGATTGATAATTTAACACAAAAATACAGTAACAGTACTTAGCTTGTGATTAATTTTGTACTTTCAGATCCCAGAAAAAAGTGAATTAGAAGAAAGCATACATGCCCATCATGTTACAAGCAATATAGGGACTTGCCAAAGCACATTAAACAAGTCCACATGAAAGACAAGACATACAAAATACCTGAAAATTACAAGCAAGAATTTAGGCACGAGTATAGTAGAAAAAGAGAGTAGAACATCCAACCAGAAAATACAATTACAAACAATGTAAAATATGTAGCAAGAATGTACAGAGACTTGATAAGCACAAATGCACTCAAAAGGAAATATCAGCGTCCAATAAATTCAACATTAACTTACAACGCTTCATTGACTGGTTGATTTCCCCATCTGGGGGAAATAAAAATGAGGACGCTGCAAAGAGAACGGGCCAAAATGTGCGTTTCATTGAGGAAAAACATATTAACTGTGGAGGATATAACCCTCTTGATAAGAGGCTCTCCCATATGTTCTTGAACTTGAACTGTATCTTACTCATCGTTGTCATGGAGACTTCACTTGAGGTAGTTGATAGAGCATCCTGGCTGTGCTCACTGGACCCACCTAGACATGTGCAATTCTATGGTTTTATTGACTTAACTCACTGCACTATATATTAATAAAAAAGATGTGCTACAGGGTGTCCAAGAAGTAACATCAATGACCCTGGCATTTTGTCATTTATGCGTCAAATGTCATGAAACTGGGTCAGAATGTTCCTTGTACATTTATACATATAAATATGAAGTATGGAGTGACTGGCAATTGATTGGCCGATTTTATGGTTGCAATAGTAGTAGTAGGGGCAGTTCAGAATGTACCTGGTAAATATTATGTAAATCAGGTTATTATAAGGTAAAACCTTTGGCAAAAATGAAATGCAATGTCTTGGGACTTTTTCAAATCTTAACGGTTTTATTGTTTATTTTGAGTTACCATGGTAACACTTCTTTGGAGTACTTTATGACATCATAATATGTTTTCTGTCTCTTGGACCCAATTCTTAGAATTACCATGGATGATGTCCTGATTGTATCACAATCAAAGTCGGACACATCTAAAATGGCACCTGCACAGAGTAGGCTTGAGCAAAGATGTAGTATTAAATATAATGTAAAACTAGGTAAAACAGCAAAAGAAACAACCAGAGATGTAAAGAAGGCTTGTGGGAGAGATGCTATCGCTGGTATAATAAATATTCCTCTGGATATAAAGATGTCAATGAAC